CTGAAGACGGCGCTCCAGGGGCGCGCCCAGCCGCTCGTCACTGAGGGCGTCGCCTCGCCACATCCAGGTAGGCACTCCACCCTCAGCGAGGCCAGACCCGATCGTGGTCAGCCCGTCCCCGATCAGGAGCGCTTCGCACCGCTCGGCGAGGGCTGGATGCCTCCTGGCGGAGGCACCCCTCGTCCCTACACCAAGGCGCGCCCCAGCTCGCGCAAGCACTGGTCGCCGCACGCATCCAGCATCGGCCTGCGCGTCTGCGCGAGCTGCCCGAAGCGCACGCTCTCCTCGTAGCGCGCCATGTTCTTCAACGGGCGCCAGCCTCTCCGTCGCTGCACCTCCGCCTGCGCCCTCTCGCCGCTGGCACAGTCGACGTTCGCCCCCGAGGGCCGCGCCTGGTGAGGCGTGACGGGCCACAGCTGTATCATGCGGCAGGCCGCCTTCATCTTGCGCAGCAGCTCGGGGTAGTCGAAGTCCTGCCCAGACTTTCGAGGATCGAGCATCTGCATCTCGCTGAGGACTGGCCCGATCAACCGTAGCCACGAAGGGCCCAGCCTCACGCCCCGGTCGAACTCCCCCACTTTGTCGGGCGTTGTTTGCTCCAAGGGGCGCACCAGGAGTCCCCAGTGCTGACTGCGACCTCCTGGCCCCACTATGTCGCCAGGCCGTAGCGCGTCTGCTCCCAGGCGTCCTAACTTTGGGTAGAAATGGCCCACTGCCGCCACGACATACCTCCCCGTCGAAGCCCGCTCGCCCAGCAGGTACAGCGAGGTGGAGAAGTGGACCAGGCGGGCGCCCATCGCCTCCGCTGGCATCTCCGAAGGGGCCTGGCGGCCACGCCTCTGCTTCAGCTGCCCGAGCACTCTCTCGTACTAGGCTCTCACTCGCGGCGTCACCGTGCTCGACACCAAGTACCGGTCGAGCGGCACTCCGCCCTCGATCGCCCGCTCTCCCGCAGGGTGCAGCCCCTTCACCCGCCGCACTAGTGTCCCCTGCCGCTTGAGCTCGACGGCGGCCTCGGACTCGCTGGTAGCGCCGCTCGAGCTCCCCCCAGCCGACCAAGCCCGCATTCCAGTGACGCGCCTTCGGATGGCGGCAGGCGGTTCCTCCGCCGCCGCCTCCAGGCACTGCGCTCGCGAGCCCTCCGCTGGCGCAGGCCGCCCTCGGCCTTCCAGCGAGGCTCCGCTCGCGCCTCGATCTCTCTCCCGCGTGAGCACCCTCAGCCGCGACACCGATGATGGCACTGCTGCTGGGGAAGGGCCCGTCGCAATCGGCCGAGCCCTCGGCAGCGCCCGAGGCGCCAACAACGGCCTGAGCCAAGACGGCTACGGAGCGCGACTGAGACGCAGGGGCCCCGACGGATCCAAAGGAGCAGGGAGCCCCGAGGACGAGAGAGGAGGGGTGACGGTGATGCTCGCTTGTTTCCAGAGCTCTTACAGGGTGCACTGAAACGGGGCTACTCGCTTGCTCGCATTCAACAGTGCTGCGACTAGAACTGGCTGACTTTAGAACGGACTCAGGTTCAACACGCCGACAGCTCGAGGGGGCCGAACGGCGCGCACGGACACGGGGGGGTCGTCGCCAACTATACGATTCGACTCATCCTCGCCCCTGAGACTCGACTCAGGAGGAAGAGAAAAGGCAGGCAGAGAGACAGGAATCAGACGCGTTAGAATCTTGGACGGTTCGCCATCGTCGGCCCGCGAGCCTTCGTCACTATTCTTGAGCTCACTTGGGACCCAGCGGACGATTGCCCTAGAGTTTCGACTTAAAAGATAGGCAGCGAATTTACGAATATGCCGCAATATCGCGAAGCTACGACACCTACATCTATCAAACGCTAGTGCTACAACTAGGTTATCAACTAACAAGATCTGCCTGGCATTGAGGCCGAAACTAGTGAGCGCAATATGCCTCAGAGATTTCACGAGGGCCCTGGACTCTAGAGTGCCAATGTGCTCACAGTACCTCCACGTCCCCTGGCCAACGTTACGCCAAAGCGGATGAGACAAGAGAGAGCTGGGCACCTCACGGAACTCGGGGCCCATCTCGTAGTCCCCCCTGGGCAGCGTGGATTCGGTCAGGGCCTTCTCGCCCTCGTCAACACAGAGAGCGACGTCCTCTCCCCTGGCAATCAGAAACTCCCCAAGACCCGCGGCAGAGAGAGCGGAGCGACGAGCGCCCCCCCCCCCCCCCCCTCGGCGCGGAAACGACACCTCTCCCGCCAGCGTCCCACGGAGTTGAGAGCCTCGAGGTCCCAGAAGCCCCCCGCAATACCAAGCCCACTCTCCGAAGCATCCGAACACTGCACCCAGCGATTAATTTATATGGCAACCACCAATCTGAGACGATCAGGGGAAGCAGGCCCCGAAACGCCCTCAACTCTTCTCGGCAACTATTCCAAAGGGATGCTGAATCTCTGCCCATTTTCATCACAAGCCTATAACAAGAGTGAAAGACGCAGAGCACGGGGCGGCGCACCAGGCCCAGGCACGCGCAATGCCCCAGCAGGACGCGCAGATCATCTCCACGGACCGCACGAAGTTGGAGCAGCCCTGCGATCACCTGGCGCACCCTCCAGAGCCTCTTCGCCGTCGGGCGCGTCTGCAGCCGCTGGCCGTCCAGCGCGACGCCGAGCACTTCGATGCCGCCACTCCGAACCTCACGCCCGTGGGCGTGTAGACCCACGGCCTCGAAAGCCTGCACCAGCTCGTCGAGGCTGTCGCTCGCGCGCTCCCCGGTCTGCCCGATCACGCCCATGTTGTCGACGTACACATAGTGCTCGATCTGCGCCGTGCCCGCCGCCAACCTGAGCACCAATGGCTCCCCCACGTCGCTGAGGGGCGCGCCGTCGCGCAGGCTCGGCGCGAACTGACAGCGGAGCTCCGTCACGCTCTGGCACAGGCACAGGCCCCACGCACATCCCATCGAGAGAGCCTCGGGAACAGGGAAGATGACGTCGTCGTAACTGAGCACCTCCCCCTTCCAGCATCGCCCCGCGGAGCCTGACGCCCCCCGCCTTCGGCGCGGGCAGGCCGAACAAACGCTTCATCCAGGGCGGCAGCCGCACGCGGTGGAAGGCGCCCTTCACGTCCGCCACCCCCACCGAGAACTCCACGTCCTCGAGCGCCGCCTGGAAGGCCGCCTGCAGATGGTCCTCAGCGCCCCCGCCCTCCTCAAGTTCGAAAGCCGAGAGACCCTCCGCCGTCAGCAACTGCACCGACGGGGGATCTATCAACCAAGCGTTGCTCCTGCGACAATCCAGAATCATACGACTCTGTTCTCTCCCCTTTTTCCAAACGAAAGAGATGCCCACCGTCTCCGAGACCTGACGCGCAAATGACACCAGTCCACGTTTCGCGAGATCCCTCACAAAGTCACCGTACCGCCGCCGGCTCCGCACCAGCGATGGCTCGCTGAAGGGCACTCGCGGACAACGCTCCAGCGCCTCGAGCACGCTCTCGTGGCCCCGCAGCACACGCTCGCCCTGCCCCTCCACGCACTGGCGCGCTCGCCCCCGAAGCAGCTCACGAAGCGCGGGCGCCTCGGCGATGCTCTCGGGAAGCGACGGCAGCCCAGGTCGGTAAGGGGCGAGCGCGTCCTCGGGAGGGCCACCAAGGCGACCTCCCTCGCATCAACTCCCGCAGGGCTGAATGCGGAGGCTGCAGCCCCACGCCTCGCATCGGCTGCACGATATCGTTCATCTGCCCATCGATGCGCTGCATGACGTCGAGCTGCACGGCCGTCACGGGCGTCGCGGAGGACCCCACGGATGCCCCTGCCAGCCAATTGAGGCGATCAACCGCCTCATTCACCAACACCTCATGAAAACGCCGCTGTCGAAGTCGAGACCGACCTCGCCCTGGCGCCGCATGGCCCACGAGCTCCCCCCCTCCCCGGCAGCGGGAGGGTGTCGCGAACGCCCTCCCCAGGCCACGGCCCAGGCGGTCCTGCACACTCGAGACCGCTGGCTGGATCACGTCCAGCGGCCACTTCTTCCATCGTCATTTGTCAGCCCCCGACGCGGTCACGTCGGGAGCCTTCTTCGGCCCTTTCGGCCCCTTCTTGTCGCCCTTGCCGTCACCTTTCTCTGACTTCGGCCGCTCGGTCGCCGCGAGGCCGCGCACCCGAGCGTTCAAGAACTCGGCGTCCTCATTGGCCCGCTCGGCACCGAAGCTGCGCAGCTCAGGCGCCACCACGTCTCCAGGGCCCGTCTCGCCTGTGAGGTAGCGGGCCATCCGCCAGTTGGCTGGAGCTCCAGGCACAGAGTGGGCGTCGGTGATCACCTGAATTCGCTTCGCGAGCCTCTCCAGCGACCGCGGGCCGCCCAGGTTCACCTGGTCGGAGGTCCCCGCTAGCAGCAAGGCGCGGCAGAGAACCTCCAGCTCGTGGTAGACCCGATCCGTGCGCTCGATGCGGCGCTCTCGGCTCCACTCGGCCAGCCAGCGCATCGGGTCGCCGCCGCTCTTGTACATGGCCTTCGCCAAGTGGGCGATCGACACGGGCCCCTCGATCGGGTCGCCGGGGAAACTCTCGGCCGTGATCTCGATCACCACACTGCGCCCATCCTTGAACCGTTCCCCGTGCCCGTCGAAGTCCACGCTGAGGGTTCTCACGTCGTCTACGCTACTGGTAGCTCTTTGTTCCCCTCCATTGCCAGCCTCGCCCACGGTCTCGCAAGCGTTCAGCCTGAGCTGGTCCTTCCCTCCCTTTTCCACCGACCTGTCGACCTGAGGCTCCAATACGTCTAAGGCTCGACGCAGGCGCGATATCCGCTCGATGGCCAAGGCGGGTGCACGACCGACACCAACTCGCCGCACTCGAGACACCTCCGAACCCATGAACTTCAGCCCGTCACTGCCAGTAATCACATCCGTCGGTGTCATGTGCACTTCCTCCCCATATGGCCCGTCCGCCGCCTAGCTCCATCAGCACCCAAATCGTGTCGGAAGGGGGTGAGGCGCCCGCCAGAGGAGCCAGATCAGCTCGAGCTGCACGCAGAACCGCCGACAGCTCCGTTCGATGACCGTCGTCCCCGATAACGTACTTTGGCCATTGCTCCAACTTCTGTCCCCTCGCCATCTCGACGTCGCGGCATCCTTGGCTTAGAATCACGATCTGCTCGTAGTTCGGCCTCTCCCTGAACTCGTACAGCAGCCGAGCCCCGAGTAGTGGATAGCCTACGTTCGGCATCGGTCGAGCCCCGCTGGGGCCCGTGAGAGGATCTCATCCGTCGGCTCCTTCCACACGTCTGCGTCGGGCGAGAGAACCCACCACACTCCGTCGTCCTCTATGCCCGACCCGTCCTCGCGCACACGTCGAGCTGGCCACAGCAGATATCTCTCGTGGTCCACGTCATCATCTGAGTAGCTCACGCGCGCCCGCGAGCCCACAGCCGCCTCACGCCAGAACTCCTGCTCCCCTGCGGCGAGGCGCAACGGCACGTGAGTTCTCACCATCTGTCGTCGCCGTCGCTGTCCTCACTCCTCGCCGCGCCTGCCACACGTGCCACGCCGCCGCCCACCACAGCAGCGGGCCGCTCTCCCAGCCTGCTGGGGCCTCGGGCGCGGGCGCGGGGCACTCCTGCGCAGCAGGCTCCCAGGTCGGCCGCCGCCCACGGGGGAGCCCCAGCGGGCCACGCGGCCGCTGGCGCGGCAGGCGGTGGCGGCGGGGGCGGCGGAGGCGGCGGGCCCGCGCTCGCCGTCCAGTTGCGAGCCGCCGCCAGCTCGCGCTCCCGCAAGGCCTGCGAGAGCTGCTCTTGCACGAGCTCGCCGAGCTGCAACCAGAGAACCAGCCACAAAGGAAGGTTCGGAGGCGCCTGCCACTGCATGGCCTGAGAACCGAGAAAGGCTGCGGTCGCAATGTTCCCTGCTAATCGTTGGCAGACGACACCCCACTCCCCGCTTAATCATATCCGTGCACGCACCCCCATCATCATCATCATCATCATCATCATCATCATCATCATCATCATCATCATCATCATCATCATCATCACCACCACCACCACCACCACCACCATCATCATCATCAATCATCATCATCATCATCATCATCATCATCATCATCATCATCATCATCAT